AATTTTTTACTTTCGTGCTCTCATTCTCACTCTCTCTTTTGCTCTCGTTCTATATCATTTTAGGTTTTACATTTATGTAAAATGGGTATTTTAGACATTTTCAATTTAAATTTCAAATATGATGCGGCAAACATAATTTTAGGGCGTGGGCCTTACCTCGATTTGGGAGGAAAATCTAATAGTTTTATTCAGGCCCTAAAACAAAAGTGGTTAATGCGCTTATCTTCAGGGGAAAACTTCATTTTACACCGTGGTGGTATACCCCAAAAGCACATAACTCTCTTGTCATTTAAAAATGTCCACGTAACCCCACATACTTTGTCGACTAAATTGCAACTTTAAATTTTTCATCTATTATAATGGGCAGTGTTCCTCACACACTGACTGTGAGAGTGGGCATAAAAAAATATTTCAAAATGACAAAAGTACCCTCATCACACACTAGACTCTCCCTCTTGCTTCAGGAAGTGGTGGAAGGCTGCCGCCACTGGCGCAAGCCAGCTCATTCTCTTCTCTTGTCTTCTTCCTTTTTGTCTTTCATATTAGTGTGTGTACTTTTGGTGTATGAGTTGGTGTATGTTCTGGTATATTAGTGGGTGTAGGAATTTTTTTTGATATATTAATGTGTGGGGTGGGGATGGGAGTGAGGGTGTATTTTGGTGTATTAGTGTGTGTGTGTTTAAGTATATTAGAGTGTAAATGGGGGGGGGGGGGAGTTGTGTGTATGTTTTAGTGTATTAGTATGCATGAGTGTGTGTGTGTTTTGGTGTATTAGTAGAGGGGTGTGTGTTTTGATATATTAGTGTGTGTATGTGTCCTGTTTTGGTATATTAGTGTGTGTTTTAGTATATTAGTATGTGTCCTATTTTGGTATATTAGTGAGTGTATGTGTCATATTCGGTATATTCGTGTGTGTATATGTGTTTTGGTGCACATATGTTTTAGTGTATTAGAGTTTGTGTGAGAGACAGAGCGCGAGAAGAATGTGTATTTTTGGTGTATTAGTGTATGTGTGTGTATTCTTTAGAGTATTAGTGTGCACGGGGGAGGGGGTGTTTTGATGTATTAGTGTGTGTTTGTGTTTTTGGTGTATTAATGTTTGTGTATGTGTGAATTTTTGGTGAATGAGTGTGTGAATGTTCTGGTGTATTAGTGTGTGTATGTTTTGGTGTATTAGTATGTGTGAGTATATTTTTTTGGTATATTAATGTGCGGGGTGTCGGTGGGAGTGTATTTTGGTGTATTAGTGTGTGTGTGTTTAGGTGTATTAAAGTGTATGTGTGTTTTAATTTTTTTTGTTTCCTCGGGGGGTGGGGGGGGTATGTGTGTTACGTAGAGGTGCAATTTGGACAAGCCAACCCTAATTCAACTCGAGCCTAACCCCCCAGAAAAAAAGAGTTGAGTTAAAATTTTTAATACTTGGGTTGGACTTAGATAAAAAAACTCTAACCCAAATTAAATTTAGGCAAGCATTGGGTTGTCGGATTCAACTCGAATATTAAAATCGTGTTGAACCCGAATATTAAAATCAGGTTGAACCTGATTAGTAAATCGGGTTGAAACCGAATATACATAAATATATAAATATATTTAACTAGAATTAGTATTTATCTTCACTTTTTAAAATCCAGACTTTCACTTCACTTCAAGTTTTCACCCCTACGCCTCTATTACTCTTAGATCCCTCTCTCACTCGTCACTCCTCCCTTTCTCGTCATCTCTGTCTCACCCTTCATCTCAGATCACTTGAAAAAATTAGATCTACACTTGAAAAAAGTAAATCTACACTTCAAAAAATAACTCAAATTTAGTAACTCAAGCCACTCGATTTTTAACCCAAAATCAACTCGAATTCAACCTAAGCCTGCCTGAATTTAATTCGGGTTGTGTATCTCCGGTTAAGATATAATTAAGGCTAGGGTTGACCTCTCAACCCGTCCAACCAACCCGAGTTGCACCCTAGTGTTTTGGTGTATTAGTGAGGGGGTGTGTGTGTGTGTTTTGATATATTAGTATATATGTGTCTGTTTTGATGTATTAGTGTGCGCGTGTGTGTGTACTTTAGTGTATTAGTGTGTGGGGGGTATGTGTGTGATTGGTGTACATGTGTTTAGTGTATTAGAGAGAGAGAGAATGTGTGTGTGTGTGTACTTTTTTATGTATTGGTGTATGTGTATGTATATGTGAATGTTTTTGTGCACGAGGGTATGTCTATGTGTGTTTTTTGGTGTATTAATGTGTGTGTGTGTGTGTTTTTGGTGTATTAGTGTATGTGTATTTTTTTGGTAAAAGATAAAAAATTTCCTTGAGCTGAGCATCGGTTTCACTTCACTCCCTATACTTTTACGTGGTTTACTTAACTTCTTCCAACTTGTGAACAAACTACAAATCTAACAGAATCCGTTTACTATAGCGACGCGGTAATTGCACGTGTTAATTAAGTGTGTGTTATAATATAAATAATTTTTTTTTTCTGAATTAAAAATTAAATTACCAATTTTATCCTTCATCTTCCCCTCTATCTCTTTCCAGACCTGCAAATTCATTTTTCAACCTATCAAACGACTTACTTTCTCAAATTTAAGGTCATTTTTGAACTCCTTGACCCTAAATTAGCTAGACCTAATCCCTTTTTTTAAAGTTTTAAATTTTTTTTCAAAGTTTTGATTTTCATGTTTCCAAACCCTAATGGGTTTCTTCACCGCACACACACCCCTAGACCATGACTTCCAAGCACTCTAATACACTGTACTATAACCCCACAACACAACTCAAGCCTCAATTGAAGAAGAAATGATCGTTTGCTATGCAACCCATTTGAAAATCCATAACTACTTTAAGCTTCAGTCACAAATTTGAAAACACACACAACATGAAATTTAAATCTAATTACACCAATGAAATCTTCATGGAAAAATAAGCATATTAAGTTGAGTTTCTGTATTGTATAGCAAAAATCCGATATTCTTGGTGTAATCCGATATTCTTTCTCTTCTTTTCGTCAACCTCTTTCTCTATCTTCTTTCTCTCCTCTTTCAAACCCCCCCGCCCCCCCGGGGGGGATTTAGCCTTCTCCACAACTTATAGAGGAATTTGTGGGGCGTAGTGATGGAAATGTTACCTCTATTAATATTTGTAGTTTGTTCACAAGTTGAAGGGAGTTAAGTGAAAGTATAAGAAGTGAAGTGAGACGGGGGCTTTATCAAGTGGAATTTTTCTATTTTACCCTATTTTTTGATTTTTTTTTTTTTGGGAGGGGGGTTGTATTTTTTTTTTAAAGAGCAATGCTATAGGGACTTTATTTGGGGACCTAATTATGTGGCTTCAATGTAACCATTGGATTAGTTATGAGTTTTAATGTTAGATAGAACCCACAAACAATCCAATAAACACATCATTGGATTAATTATGAGTTCTAATGTTAGATGAAGTCACAACCAATCCAATGGTTATACATCATTAGGTCCCTAAATTAGGTTTTTCAATTAGGTCCAAATAACATTTCCTTTTTTAAAGTACTTTTTCAAAGATGTTTATCCAACATGTCAAAAAGAAAAATTTTGTAAAATTAGTTTTTTTTTCTTTTTTGCTTAAAAAAAATACATTCAAAAAGCATTATCAAACGGAGCCTACGACTCTAGTCTCCCAAGAAAAATAAAGTCAAGGAGGCTTATGAGAAATAGTGTGATGTTTTATATTTCGGGGGGACATTCATTGTGTTTTTTTCTGGAATGAGACTCCAAGCGAATATGAAGTCCCCATGTTCATCCCCCTTGAATTTGTATACTCCCAATCACTCCTTAGTTAGCATTTCCATGCAGAACTCTATCAGCTTGAATGGATTAAGAAAGTTGTCGCAATAGAGGAAGTTGCATGATTTGTTAAAGATGTTGAATGTTGTCACCAAGATAATCTTAAAAATGAGAGCGTACTGGGAAATAGGATGATGTTAAGATTAGGAGATAGCTTCATTCAGGATGGTATAAGACTCTAGACTCTCAAGTGTACAAAGTCTATTGATATCGGTTTGGTTTTTAGTTTTTTTTTTCTTTAGAAAAATGAACAGATTTGGTGTGTTTCTATATGTTGTCTAGCATTGTATGGTTATTCCTATGATTTCCCTTCCGTACGTAATGTTGTGTGTTGGTGGTGGAGGTTATGTTGTTATGGCTGTGGTGTTTTCATGAAGTTACATGAGAAGGCATAATAATAAGTCCACTGCATTCCAACAACTCGTCTTGATTTTGAAGCTACTCTGACACTCACGCTTCATCCCACATGCGAGACTTGGGAATTGAGAGAAAAAAAATTAAAATTAGTACCCATCCAAGTTTGAATTTTTGGCTCGGCCTGACTCTAGATTGACATCTTAAGGGGGAGGGGTTAGAGTTTAGAACTAATCGTGAATGATTAAAAGAAATCAAAATGACTATTTAGAGTTTTTAAAACCTTTGGTGTACTTTCCTTGAAAAGGTTTCAATGTTTGTTTATCATACCAAGTGAGGAGGACTTTAGGGTGATTATCCTCGTCTTATTTGGGGTGAATATATTTGAACTTATAATTTACTATAAATTCTTGAGAAAATTAACTTCCAAAAAAAAAAAAGCATCGAGAAAATTTCAGTATCCCAAATGTTCTCATGTAACAATTCTAGAAGTATCTCACATCATTGACCACAAATAACAAGTATGATAGACTTGAAGAGAAAGTGAACGAAATCATACTATATAAGACTGTTTGAAGATGAGACTACAACATTTACAACATAGAACTAAGACCAAATAGAGGTTAATGGAAAATCACTTCATAACTACTAACCAATAATTATGGATGATCACACCATAGTTTCAAAGCCAAAAATATATTTGTATGAGCTTCAGCATAGACGGAGCAATAAACCTTGATTATCTAGCTTACAATGCAAATGTTTGCAACAAGTTCGAATAATTTGGGATCATAATGCGAATGCATACAAAATAACTGAAACTCCTTTCATGTTTCAACGCCTTTCAAAATTTGCAAGTAACTGAAATCTGATCTTCTGGAGATATGCTACAACCTCCGTCATGCTAATCCTCTCTTCAGGTGATTCTGTAGAGCATTTCAAAGCTAATTCCATGACAGATGATACACATTGCACCTTTACAGTCAAGTGTTCGTCCTCCGCCCCTACCAGATTAGCATCCATAACTTGGAGTAGTGCATTTGGTAGTGAATCATTCACCCACTGCTTGAGGCTTAAATCTTCGGTGAACTTTTCATCACAAGGTTTTGTTCTTGTAAAAGTTTCCATCAACATAATGCCATAGCTGTAAACATCACACCTTGTAGAGACCAGTCCTTCCAATCCATATTCTACATACATCAAGCAATCATGAACTACACTAATATGTTTGTAAGGAATGTTAGTACAAATTCAATTCCAAAAGAGAAAACCAAAATTTAGATATGAGTATAAATTAAAAAGCCAGACACGTCACCTGGTGCAATGTACCCAAGTGTGGCTAAAGTCTTCGTTTGTGCAATACTCTGCTCACCTAGTAACTTTGCAATGCCAAAATCACTTACATGTGCAACCATATCTTCATCTAGCAAGACATTACTAGGCTTCAAGTCACAATGAACCACAGGAATCAAATAGCCATGGTGCAGATAATCTAATGCACGTGCTACATCTATCATTATGTCTAATCTTTGCAAGATGTCTAAGCAAAAACTATTGGAGTATAACCACATTTCAAGGCTTCCATTAGGCATGTATTCGAGGACTAATGCTTTGAAATCAGGATTAGAGCAACTGGTGATGACTTTGGTTAGATTTCGATGGCGAAGATTGCGCAGTACTTCACATTCTGTATCAAAACTCTTGAATGCACCTTCTAGTTGCAAATTAAATACTTTTACTGCTAAATGTGTCCCATCTGTAAGTACCCCTCTATAAACTGAACCAAAGCTGCCCATGCCAAGCAAGTTGCTTTCATTGAACTGGTGAGTTGCACGTCGAAGTTCATAGTACGTAATCCTTCCATAGGTGGTAGGAAACCAAGCATTTCCAGCCGGGATGTTATTCCGTCTTTGTCTTCTAATCAAAACAAATATGAAGATCAAGGCAAGAACCATTGTTGCAATTGCTAGAGAAGTATATACAACTACTTTTTTCTTCCTTGATCTTTTAAGAGAACTATGTTTGCATAGATGTACTCCAAACCTAGGAACACCACACAAATCTTCATTTGACATAAAAGATTTATCAGTGAAGTTCGCAAAAGGTCCACCATTTGGAACTTCACCTCTTAATTTATTGTAAGATACATTGAGATATTTAAGATGCAAGAGTTCCTCTAAGGACTTTGGAATCGTTCCAGATATATTATTATGAGACAAATCTAGGAACTCTAAGTTTATCAAGTTGCCAAGTGACTCCGGAAGTGGTCCTTGCAATCCATTATGCACTAATAATAGAGTCGACAGATCTTGTAGGCCTCCAATTGCACCAGGGATAATACCTGATAATTGATTCCTCGATAGATCTATATTCGTCATAACCTTTAGACTTCCAATATCTGGGGGCAAGGAGCCGATTAAAAAATTTGAGGAGAAGTTGAGCTCCAAAAGATCTTTGAGTCTCCAAAGGTTCGTGGGTATGTTGGAAGTTAAGTTATTGGAATCTAAGTAGAGATATCTTAAAGAAGTAAGATTTCCCAAGCACGTTGGCACAGAACCAAAAAGCTTGTTTTTGCTCAAATCTAGATATCCCATGTTTCCTAAATTATAGAGATCACTCGGGATCGATCCTGATATTCTGTTTTGATTGAGTCTCAAAATTTGAAGCTTCCATAACTCCTTGATTGTCGTCGGAATAAATCCATCCATGTCATTGCCTTGTAGTTCTAAAAATGCCAAATTGCTTAAATTTCCAATCTCATTAGGAATCTGGCCCTTAATTCCACAATAATTTGCAAAAATCGATTCAAGAGATGCGGAGAAATTTCCAATAGAAGCTGGAAGAATGCCACTGAGAGGATTTACGGATATCCATAAGGACCTTAGTTGTCTACAATTTGTCAAAGAAGTGATGAAGCTCAACTCCATAGATGAAGAATCCCTAGAGAAGTTGTTTGCCTCCAATCCAAGACTTTCAAGGTGTTCTAGGTTACCTAATGAATTGGGTATTGCTCCGAAGAGTTGGTTGCCCTCTAGGAATATTGTAGTGATTTTCGAAGCATTTGAGATAGAGTCGGGAAGAATTCCATTTAGGTAATTCTGTCCAAGTACAATTGTTTCAAGATTGGGCATCCAAAGTCCCATATTTGATGGAAGAGTGCCTGAAAGATGATTGTTCTGAAGGTAAATTGCTTGTATTGTTGTGATGTTGAAAATTGCTTCAGGAATATGACCCGAAAGACTATTGAATATTAATTCCAATTCCTCCAAATTGTAAAGATTTCCAATCTCGTGTGGTATAGTACCTGCAAAATGTAAAACAAAAATAATATATAATAAAGTGTAATTATATGTTATTCGCTCAAAATATTGCACTAATTTAACCTTATTCCCTCTTCCCCAAATCTAAATAGCCATTTGTTTTTTTATGTAAAAATGGTTACGCACGTGACGCATTGCATGCATGCAAAAAGGGAAAATGTTATTGCAACAAAAACTAAATTCCCATGTGACATTCGTTATAGAGGATGACAAAAATAAATACCTGTCAAATTGAGACTACCAAGTTTTAATGTCATCAATGAAGTACAGTTCCCAATACTCCTCGGAATGCCGCCCGTAACAACCTTGTTTCTATCAAGGTCTAAATCTTGGAGGTTTTGAGAATGCAAGCATATATCCCATGGAAGACTGCCAGACAAGTTGTTTTCAGCAAGATGAAGCCCTTTTAAAGAAGTGATGTTGAAAATAAAAGATGGGACGTGACCAATGAGTCCAGCATGCTCTATGGCTAATTGCTCCAAATCCAGATTGCCTACCTCGTGTGGGATTTCACCTTCAACATGTAAATTTCATTACCATTTGAGTACGGTTGTCAAAACATGTATCGAAAGGCGTATCATTTTTTCAAAAATAATGTATCGTGGATCAAAACGTATTACGTATCATAAGATACGTACAATTTTATAAAAGATATTAAAAAATGCATATACCTATGACATAAAATAATTTGAAGAGACTACAAGAACCATAACAAAAAACATTAACAATCTAAGTATTAAAGTTTCAAACATAATTCATCAATATCAAACTTTAGAGAGTTCTAGTTCTAACATAAATAGTTAAATAATGACACTTTTAACAATCAAACAATTTGCTCATGTGACGAGAATGAATAAAAAATAAGACTTTTGTTTTTTAAAAACTGTAGATGGAAAAACGACGTCTTTTTATTACGTAGTGTTTGAAAAAATTACTTCCAAGTGAAAATACGCCGTTTTGTGGTTAAAATTCAAAAGAATTTTTTTTGATTTGTTTTGTCCTGTATCGGACGACTTGTACGTATCATCTAATATATCAGATGTATCATATCATGTATCACATAATACGATATAAATCGATACATTTAAACAATACGTACCATTTTTTTCATGTATCGTATCACATATCGTACGATACTAACAAATATGCATTTGAGTTTTACTTGGAAACTGTTAGATTTTGAACAGCAGAAGTACGTATAAAACTTTCAGCTGAAAAGATTTGCCAATTTTTTAAACAATTAATGTTGCATTAATTGTAATTGTTTGCCATTTTTGGTGATTAAACCTGTCTTCAACCAAAAGACAAGATGCGCTCTTGCAGTGTGGCTACAAGGTCGTTTAGCATCGAAGTTTGTCTAGCAAATTAAATTTCTTGCAATTCTCCATGGTCTAGTGAATTAAAACCTTGTAACCAAAGCAAGGTTATCCTACAACCTAAATGACCTAGGGAAAAAAAACACCTTAATGATCTCCCAAACATGTGTCGGGAAATAGCACGCGCCAGTTCATCAGATTCTACCACTGTAGAGCCCAATCATACTCAAAGAAAGAGTTTGATTCTAGCTCAGAAGGAATCGCTAGCTATATGCTTAGCGTATGCAAGTCGAACGCTGTTTTTGAAGAGATGGGCAAAAGGAAAAAGGAGGCACCTAGCTAAAGGTAGCTTGTCTCACTTAGGAGGTGAGAAGAGTCACATGGGAATTTGCCACACAGTTTGGGCCAAATCCAGAAAAAAGCTAAAAGGTGTTGTTTGTGGCAAATGAAGTCAGCGGTTCGTTTCTGTATTAGGTAAAGACACTAATGTCCATTATTATGGAACACTAATATAACCCTTAATTGATGAGGTTTTCCTTATTTCTGTAGTTGAGTGAGTGGCCATCCCCAACACACATATTATTGGTTATGAGTAGTACCCATGAATATGCTAAAATAATCATGATTCAGGACCCAAGATGCAGAGATTTACCTTCCAATATGTTGCCTCCAAGATACAAACTCTTAAGCATGGTTAAGTTTCCAATTCCTCTAGGAATGCTACCAGAGAGTTTGTTATAGGACAACGATAAAATCTGAAGCTTTCCGCATCCGTGCCAACTAGATGGGAGAAGACCTTGAAATTGATTAAAAGAAAGAGAGATTCTACTGACTTCAGCGAGATGATTGCACATATCTCCAGGGATGGGACCAGATAAGTTATTATGCCGGAAAACAATGTCATCTAATGAAGTCATGTTGAAGACGAAAGGTATGGAACCAGAAAATTGGTTCTCTCCCAATCTCAATATTTTCAGGTTGGAAAGGTTACCAATCTCTTTTGGAATGTGTCCGCTTAGATGGTTAGTAGATAATCGCAACACCACAAGGCTAGTGATGTTGCCTAGGGAAGGCGGGATAGCACCGGTGAAACTATTATTATACATGATCAAGAATTCAAGTTCTGGTAAGATACCAAACCATGATGGAACCTCCCCACTCAAAGAGTTGTTTCCCAAATCAATTTCTTTCAACCGACGCAAATGAGCCAACTCCTCAGGGACATGGCCATGGAAATTGTTGCTACTAATGTTGAGGGAAGCAAGGAATGAGAGGTTTCCAAGATGTGGAGAAATGGTGCCACTGAGACCTACGTCAGGAAGATCCAATGCTGTGACTCTTTTGTGACGAACACCACAAGAGACTCCAATCCAGTTGCAAACAGGAGTGGTGATGGACCAATTGGTTTCGAGAAAGCTGTGAGGGTCAAAACTGATTTGAGCTTTGAAGGCAAGAAGAGCAGATCGATCAGTGGCCAAGTTAGTCTCACTCGTGGCAAAGCAAATCATGAAACTATTTGCGCACAAAAGTGTGACAGAAAAGAGGAAAATGAATTTCTTCATGAGGGTATTTAGTTTTGGAAGATAGACTCATGCAACAAAGAAGACTCGGATTGGTGAAATATGAAGGCGTGTGAATGATTATTGAGATACTTATAGAGATGCCAGAAGAAAGTTTCATGGGAAGAATATTGTTTTGGTTACAGTAATGCCACCAGGTCAATTCCCAGAAGACAGAGGAAGTCTTCCACTACTACCAGAGTCCATGATACAAAAAAAATTAAAATTGGCCAAACTTATGTCCTTCTAAAAAAGGATTTAATTCGTTAATGATAGCCATGGAAGTGACTACACAAAGCCACCAGGTCATGGTGTTTCTCTACCAAACTTAAATGATTGTTGCCATCAAACTTCATTTTTTCCAATAATATTATTCTAATTGTTTAGACTCTTTCTCTCTATATATATATATTTCCTTCTCTCCTCTTCTATTTACATGCTAAAATCATTGGGGTGTGATTTATATATGTAAAAAATAGCCATCTTGATCATATAGAATTTAAAGTTTGGATGGAAGGGAGCCAAAATTGATCACATGTCTTCCACCATATGAACTTACTTCTATGTAGATATAGCGATTAATCTTTACTCAACCCTACTTATAAAATATTAAATCTGGCTCAGTCCAAATCCAACATTCAACCCCAATTTTTTAGCCCCATTGTTTCAGATTTTTGAACTCAGATTACAGAACTCAAGTTAAAATTCCGGTTTATTTTCATGTAAAACCATAATTTGCGAGAGAGAAAAAAATATTATTGGGATTTAATTTACGTAATTTGCTATAGGGAAAAAAAATATAAAGGGAATATCATTCATTCAAAGATGCTGAAAGTCAAGAATAAAATTTCAAGTGATAACGAGAATAAAACTTGTACGGATGGATTAAAAAACAAAGAAAACTCACATTTTTCCAACGAATCGGAGTGAATAAGAATAACATTTTTCCAACGAATGTTAAGATCAATATTATATTTTTCATAATCGATCATAAGTGTCTATGATCAATGTGCGTGCAAGATCCTGCACAATATAAAAAACGAGAACAGATCTCTCCCTTGGTGAACTCGAGTGAGCTAGTTGAGTGACCAACCACGCTGCTTGGAACAGCCTGCGAGGTCCGGTGGTAACCTGGAACGGCAAAGGGAGACCCTGGGGGAGCGGAAGAACGATCCAGTAAGGCTGAAAAAGGTCCCTGGAACAAAGAAGAACAAGTTAGAAGGGCGCCGGAGTGTTTTCCGGCGTATCCCCTCCGACAATCTAGTCAGTCTTTGAGAAAGAGAGAGGAAGGAGAAAACACTGAGTATGTATTGTAGTAAAGAGTTTTTTGTTGCATACCCGTCTTGCCTTTTGCAAGGAGTATTTATACCTCAAAAGCTCATGATTGCTGTCAGTGTAGTCAGTAGGTGATCATTAGGTATAGGCAGTGTGCGCACTGATTCTGATGAGGAATGTCTTCTCTTCTTAACTGCTCGAGGTCCCGAGCAATCAATGCTGCGTCATCGGGATGCCGACGGTACAATATACTCCTCTCGGGGAGGATGCAATAAATGCTCTGTATTAGGAGCATTTATTGTCTTTCATTTCCGAGCTTTACCGCATTGAATGCAGTCTCGTCAAGGGAGTGGTGCAATTAATCGTTTGTGTTCCCAAGTCGTGTGTCAGCAACGGCATGCGGCTTTTCTGTTTTTGATGTGATATCATACGCCACGCGGCCATCCCCCATTGGCTGTGACATCTGCATTCCAGTATGTTCTGACACTAATTGTGTAAGACGAGGTCATGATGAATAGTCTAGACTAGCCTAGGCTAATGACCTGTACGTCAATAGCTTATCCTGGAGTAGAGGAGGCGTCCAGGACGGGGTACACCTCGGCACCGAGGAAAGGCTCATCTCGGAACCGAGGGAGGGATACCGACTGAGGTACCATATCAGACCGAGGCTACGTGTTGGTTGTAAAACGTACTGAATGCCATGATCCTATATGACGAGTACCTCGGGGGCAAGGACCTTGTGCGCCGATGGTGCTTGATCTTAGCAACAGTGTTTTGGTAAATACCGAGGACACGTGTCTTCATCATGGAGTATTTCAGAAAAGTCTCATCAACTGCCCCCCAGCCTTCGATCTTCTGACACCGAGGGCACGCGTCGTAAGGAGACGAAGGGTTTCCCAACAACCACAAATGCTTCATCATTGCCTCGAGCCGCTTTCCCCGGCTTAGGATATCGTGTGCATTAAATGCGCCGTTTCGTTTTTCGCGCCCAATAATGAAACAACCACTATATAAATGGGGTTCCTCTTGCATTTTCTTGTTTCGCCATTCCAAACTTCCTCAAGAGAGCCTTTTCCTGAATCTTCGTCGGAGATCTCTTTCCTCTTCCATCGTCAACTGCCCATTCTTCCTTAAAGTCCTAAGGCCAGCAGACCCATCATTGCTTCTGAACTTTCTGGAAGGAGTCGCCTAAAGTTTTCCAAAAAAAACTCTGTTTGGCATTCGGGTGAGTCCTAGTTTCTTTCTTCTTTTCTTCCTCCTATCCCTTTTTGTTTTCCAATGACTAGAGGTGTCTCCGATTGATACTTAGCGACTAATCCTCAGGAAGCTTCCTCATGTATTTTTAAGAAAAAACACCCTCCACTTTCTCACTTTCTTAGAGATGTCTCGTCGTCGCCCTGCTCCCGAGAATCATCAGGCTGGTTCTTCGGGGTCAGGGAAGTATAAAGTAAAGGGTGGTGAGTAGATTAATAGGTTTAAGGTCAAGTACGGCATTCCCCCGTGCATAGACATAGAGGATTATGACTCGGTGGTGCACACTCCTACCCTCGGGGCCGAGGATGCTATGCCCTTTTATACCAAGGTCATAATAGAGGGCGGAATTAGGTTTCTTTTACCCCCTTTACTTCTCCAGTTCCTCTCTCACTTCCGCCTCTCCCCCGGGCAGTGTTGCCTTAATGTCTTCAGAATAATTATGGGGGTCTTAGAGCTCAATAGGCGCCTCGGGGTAAATATTGGGCTGAACGATCTCCTTTTTTGTTATTCCCTCTTGAGAGTCATGCCTCACCAACACTTCTACCTTAAGGCCAGGGACCCCTCTATGTACCTTGTAACTCATCTTCCCGACTCGGACAAGGGGTACAAGGACAATATTCTTATTTTCAAGGGATCTTGGCAGAGAGGTGTTGGTCTTGAATATAACGGCTTGTTATGCCCTCTGGAATGGAGAACGACAAGTACGTCGGTTCCTTCGGGTTTATTATTTTGTTCTCCAGATTTCCCATGTTCATGACTACTTTTTTTGTTTGTGCAGATATCCCTGCTCGGGAAACAGCTCCTCCCCCTCGGTCGCTGGTGAACTTTGCCGACCTAGTCACGGTTTGGAGATTTACTGGTGACAACGGGTTCGGCCGGGCTGCCCACATCCTGCTGAATTACACCCCCGGGTATAAGAAATTTTCACAGCTTCCTCAGCCTTTTGAGCCTTCGCGGTGGTCTGAACTCTTCGATCAGGCGGCGAGGCAAGAGGTCGAGGAAAACTTGGAAGAAGACCCTGATCGGGCTTCGGAGGCAGAAGTAGAGGGAGTAGTTGAAGAGCTCGGGGTCAGAGAGGACTTTGTTCCTTCGGACGCCGAGGTGGGGACTTCGGGAGGAGATTTGTGGCCGGACTTCCAAGTTCTACAATCTCTAGACGCCGAGGACGCCCTCGAGGTCGCGATGTCCAGCACGCCTCGCATTGACCTGGGGTTCCTGAGGCAGAGGCAAGCCCTTGCTGCCGGAAGGGGTCGAGGATCGACCGGCGGCGCCCCATCTGCAGGGACCAGTTCCACCCCATCCTCAAGAGTTCTCAGTCGGGGTCAAGTGCGTGACCGGGATCCTCAGGTAGAGGAGGAGAGAAGGGTCAAACATAGGCACGATGGCCTCGGCAGAGGATCCAGGGCACCTTCCGCTCAGCAGCAAAGCGGGAGAGGCCATGGGTTACCCCCTGCTCCTCCGCAACAGCAGCAACAGCAACAGCAACGACAACAGCAACAACGGCAGCAGCAGACT